TTTTTTTCATGCAAGTTTTTCGCAGTTTCATTTTTAGCACACATTGAGGGGGAGATTTGTGAATTTTATTCGTCGGGCGCTTCTCAACCTTAGTGAGTTTTATAATCACTTATTGATTATAAAAGGGGGAGAATGTAGAGTGGTTATTCGAAGCTTCTCGGGTATTCATTTGCGGATTTGAAGACTGGTATTACTTCGAGGGGGAGTTGGTCTTGATCGCATGTGCTCATTGCATATTGAAGCCAAGACATCCAATCCTAACTTTGAGGGGGAAAATGTTTGGGTGCAAAGTCTCTCTTGGTTGTCATGTGTGCTTACTCCTTTGTATGTTTGTAATGAGTTGTCTTTCCTTTATAAGGAAGTGAGTGACACTCATTTTATGTAAGGAAGAACGTATGAGAGATTATTTTAGAGAGAGAAATATTGCAAACCCATTTGTACTCTTTCTAAAAACTAATGAGAGCTAAACCCGGATTTATTTACTCTTGTGTTCTTCGTGTTCATGATTCTTGTATGATTCACTAAATGATTTCATATCTCGCATTCGTCATCATAATCAAAGCCACTACATTTGGTATCAGAGCGGGTCTTCGAAGATCAAAACGATTTTTGAAGAAACGGTTCTTGGTTTGGCTACATTCAACACAATTGGAACGTTTATGGTGAGTCTCTCGATGATCCATATAAATCTCTTTGATTCGTGCTTGCGTTCTTGAATTTTTTTGATCATTTTGACTCATTGGATCAATTTTTTTTTGAAAAACTCATTTGTTATGATCCAATAACTTTTTCATTGATCAAGCTCGATCCAATCCTATTCTTTTATTCGTTTCGATTCTAAATTTTCAATTGTTCGTTTGATTGAAGATCTTGCCCAAAATCATATTAAATTCATTACTATTTATGTATGTTTTTAATGTCCAAAATTTGTTTGGTTAAGATCTGATGGCATTAATCCGATACTGTTCATCCGTTACTAAGCCCACAGTTCATCTTGATCCAATTTTTGAATCGCTTACTGTTCATGAATTGACCCCATATGTCAATTCGATCCAATATCTTAAAAGGTTGAAACGAAAAATCATTAAAATCACTTTTTGACTCGGTATCTTATTTGGTTCGTCGTCATCGCTTCAGTGTTCACAAATACATAGTCTAGTGTTCATGTCTCAGTAATATACATCGATCATAATTTTCGATTTCTTTTCAATGTTACTGATAATCAATTAGAGTTTGTTCTTGAATCTTGACATGTGAATCGATTGTATATGCTTTGTGCTATTAACAAGCCGATGATGAACAAGGATTTTCAATTAATGTTTTGATTTTGATAAACTTGATCAAGAACACTTGAAGGAGGTGAAGAAAAATTGATTGATCACTTTTTGATCTGAAATTTGGTATTACAATCAACAATTTCATGTTTGTTGATCTTTGACTTCGAAAATTCAAACCCAGAAAAAGTCAAACTCGATTTTTATGTGTTGATTCTATGAATTGGAGGCTGAAATTGGTTAATACAAATTGTATTTGGGCTATGGATGTCGAAATCAAGTTTGATTTGGGGGTTAATTTCGAAGTTGGATGTGTTTTTGTTCTTGATGACGAAGGCTAAGACATAACTTCTTGTTCGACGCTTGAGTTTTGATTTCAAACTTGAGTGTGTTTTGGAAATCGTTTGTTTACTGATGTCGAATGGGAAGGATGGATAATGATGGATAAATAACGAAGGTGATTAAGTTCAATAGTGAATGACTGAAATGGGAATGTTCCGAACGAATATATGTATTCATGATCAACATGAAATTTTGGTTGAAATTTTTAGATATGCGATTGACGATTTCGCTATGACACATTATAAAAGTCACAATTGATTTGTCTTTGAGCTGCTTTGTTTTGGAGTTTGAAATCGATTCTAGCTTAGTCGGTGGATTTCGATGTCGAACGGCTATAACCAACTTGATAAGTGAAGATTGAGGCTATAATTGAGTCGAATTGGAGTTTTGGGTGATTTGTGAACACGTTCGCTATGTGCCACCGTCCATCGAGGTTTGGATGTCGAAGTCAGATTCAACTTGTGGACGTGGAAACAACTTAGAAACGAAATGATTAATTACTTTGATGTCGAACATTCGTGTTTGGGTTCATAGTCATAATTTTTGTTTGGTGAACAAAATTGGGTTTGGTACGAAGAATCGAATTGGGAAGGAGATGGTTCGCTTTTGGTTAATTGATTTTGGATTCGAATGTCTTGACTTCGAAGGGTTTATTTTGACGATTCAAAATAGGAGTAATGACTAGGAAGGTTTGATTTCGATGTGTTGTTATGGGTATCGACATGCTAGATCGAAGGTCACTGATTGTATCTAACCTTCGAAATGCAGTGAAGAAGAAACCAAACCTGTCGATTTGAATCCCTGAACTTTCTAAGAAGTGGCAAAACATACCCAAATTCGAAATGGGGATAAATTTTGTGAAGAATGAAGGAGTTTAATTATGAATCCCTGCAGTTTCGAAAACTTGGCTAAAATTTCTAAGAAGTGGAAGATTTTTCGAGTTCAGCCCCTGCGGTTCATGCGAATTTTCAATCTATGCCCAGTTTCGCAATTGGGGTAAAGTTTCGCACCTTAGGCTGTTTTTGGCGCACCGACTCACTGCAAAATTTCGAATTTAACAATTTCTACCCAAATTTGTGAAATTTCGTCAAAGGAGGTCCGTGAACGAATTCAAAAATTGAGATTTTTTGGATTTTCCGGATTTATGCAAAATGTTTATGCCATGTGTTAAGGGGGAGTTTCGGATAGAAAAATTCTGAATTTGAGCGCTTTCTCATTCCTTTTTGGTTTTATAATCATTTTTCGATTATAAAAAGGGGAAGAGAATTAAATATGGGAATTCGAAAGTTGAATTTTTCATATTACGCGGACTTGAATACCGAAGTGACCTTGAGCAACAAAGTTTATGAAGTGATTGAATTAGAGATTTGGAAGTGATTAGTTGATGATGGGTTTGGACTTATTGAAGATTTTTGGGGCATGATTTTATTCTCAAAATTAGGTAATTTTGTGGAGGTTCTGAGACTCCTAATTTCCTTTTGATGTTCGGTTGGGAAGGTCTCACACTCTAGAACCCAGATTGGAAGGTCATTGAAGAGTTGAAGATTTGAAGTTCATCTCTACATGTGTCACAATGGAGTCTTGGTTTGTGAGGTTGCTCGATTTTGGAAGATTGAAGCAGGTCATCCATTCCTAACTTTGTGGGGGAGAATGTTGGGGTGCAAAGTTATGCATGTATGACTTTGTAGTGGTTTGACTCTTGTAGACCCACTTGAATGTGGTAGAGTAGCCTTGTGACATGATAGATAGATAGCTAGAGCGAGAGAGAGAGAGAGAAAGAGAGAGAGATAGATGTAAACACCTCTATATATAATGGATTTCGTACTACTTGTAGAGGTCTTCTTGAGAGATGTAGTTCATAGTGACTAGTGAGTGAGGTATTTATGAAGTTCTAGTCTAGTACCCTTTTTGTTCGTATAAGTATATGACCCGGTCTCGAGAAAACAACCGGGTTCTATTAGTATTACTACAGAACACGCTTACTAGGAAGTTATATGACCCATTTTCTACAACCGGGTGTTTTGAATTCTTTTAGCAAATATAAATGTGGATTAATGACTTCTTTTTTCAACTATGACTTTATTAAAAAACACACAAGAAGGAAGCCGAAACAAAGTAAAATAATGAGCAACAAGAAGAATCAAACAAACAAAAGCAAAACATATAGAGAACTAATAACAATAAGAAAAACACCCCAAGAAAAACAATAAGAAAAGCAAACAGATGAATAGAGGGAGAAAACCTCAGTTAACAAGCACTACACCAAAAAATGCCAGGCAGGGGCAAAATGGTCAAGAAACCAATAAAACCCACCAACATCTAGAAAGCAATCAGCAACCAGGAGCACAAATAGAACCAGAGAAGATCAAGAAAGTATGCCAGCAACTCCAAAGAACACAGGAGAAACGGATCAAGAAACCACCACAAAGATGCAAGACAAAACCAGGGGCACAATTGTCAAAGGGATGAACTCATCTCAGCAACACAACACTCTGATCCAGGATCCAAAAAAAGAAAGCAACCTATCTAAATCACGACAGCACCCTAAACAACCGGTCTAATCACAATTGCATTAAAGGTCTCAATGTATAAATAAAACCATATGAATACCAAAAATGAAGCAATGTACATGTCATCACTCTAATCATCCTGCACAATTGACATTACAGTACTCGTACCTCACTGCCTGCTTCAAAATCCTGCTTCCCACCACCCTGTAACATCAACCATCAAGGTTAAAACCGTAATTACACATAGGTCTATTCCTTTTTTCACATTGAATACGTGGAGCCGGTTTTAAAACCGGGTTCTATTCCTTTTTTCACATAGGTCTCGCTGGCTTTAGGACCCGGTTCAAAACCGGGTTTTTTAATTGAAATAACCGGGTCCTATAAGCTTTTTTGCACAAAATTACGATCGTGGTATCTAGATTCTTTCTCAAGCAGTCTTAATTTACATAGTGTCTACAGGTAACCATGTCTCCAACTCAGGGACAACCATTTACCAAATTTCATTTATTTATCTAATCACTCGTGCATTGGGCGTATATAAATATTTATGAATGAAATAATGTAGATGCCACTTCATGTATCGGAGTATTTTATTTTAATTAATTAAGCAAATCAATACCCAGATCATGCAACGAAAGAAACAAGTTGTGCCATTCGTGTTGTATTAATATATATTGATTCATATGAATAATGTAGAATAGGACATAGAATAATGGGAAATGAGCTGTGGAATATGGGTGAGCAACAACCAAATCTGATTCAGGATCACATTAACATTAACACCAAAACTCCAACTATAACTATGAAGTTTGTAAACAGAGGATACAGACAATAAACAGAGAGTAATTTCTTAGCTTTTGCTTCTCAGAAACAGATGGCTACTATTTCTTCAAACATAAAACCCCATAGTCATGGCCGATCCATCAGCTTACCTTCTACATTATTAGACCAGCACCACGTATTCAATGAATTATACAGATCTCACACTTCTCAAGATGCCACCACATCGTGTTCATCATCATCACTGATAGGCGAGAAGCTAAATTGTCTGAATGATATGTATGAATCCATTCAGCCGTTCCTTACACTGCCATCAACTCAACATTCTTTATCACACGGATGCCTAAAAGAGCAGCTGAACAAATTTTTGGACGAACTTATTGGGCTTTTGGATCTGTGTAGCACAACCAAGGATGCCTTATCTACATCTACGGACTATGCCAAAGATCTCCAGTCAGTTCTACGGCGTAAAAGAGGCGATGTCCATGGGTTAACTTCTTCAGTCAAGGACTATCTATCGAACAGGAGAAAAGTAAAGAAGGCTGTTTATAAAGCATTGTTAGGTTTGCAGAAGCATTATGGTTCTTCAGTAAAAGGCCACAGTAAAACATCAAACGTCAACATATTGAAGGAAATCAGATCAAACACTTTGGCAGTGTTTGAGTCCTTGTTGGCGTTTATTCTTGGATCATACACACCGTCAAGGCAAAAAGGCTGGTTTTTAGTCTCGAAAATGCATCATATAGGCAGCAAGCGTGTGCAGTGTGTTCAAACAGTAAAAGAAAGTGTAGTTCAGAAGGTACACGATGACCTACACACCTTAATCAGAAACAAGAACATAAAATCAGACAGACTAGTTCTTGAGAGTATAAAAAAAGGGCTAGCAGAAATGGAATTCAGCCTCGGAGATCTAATTGACCAATTAGAAGGCCTTTGCAGATGCTTGATCAAAACTAGAGTGTCAATTCTAAATATCATCAACTGTTAGCAATATGTTAACAATCCGTAATGTAGTCATGTAAATAACTTTTTATTTCTAACACATTTTGTAAACATTGAAATACTTTTTTGTGTATATCATGGAGTATAGACTTCAAGTGATTAATAACGGTTTACGGTTTGTATGCATTTTGATATGTTCATTACATGTTTATCTCTAAAAGCAACCACTATGGTATGTTTGTAGAAAACGTGGACCGATCCACTGAATTTTCTCCAGAAAGTTGGATTAAGATTTTTTTTCCAAGTTGGCATTGTAAGTTAGGTAAAGTCCTTGCCATATTCTCATTAGACTACGTGTACAAATACATGGTTACAAACAAAATCCGGATAATCAAGGGATTGATAAATGGATAAAGATATAATCAAATTGATATACATTCCATATTTAGATTGGCTAATAGCCCCAACAATTTGAGTGAGAGGTGAACCGACAATCAAATTGGATTTGAAGCCGAGGAACAGTTGTTGGGGAAGGCCTTTTGTACAAATTTATCCATATTGATAAGCAAGTGGAACAACATATTAGCAAATCAAAATTTGTGTCTAAATAGCCAGTGACACCAGAAGATGTTAGCATTAACGAGACGTGACACTAAGTACCAAGTGTGTTGTTTAAGTAAGGAGTTATATCCGGTTGTTATGGCGGTATTCTAGTTTTGATATAACATGGAAGATTTAGGACCGGGTGGAATATGAGATATATGAGTATTATTATGAGTGAATAATGGATTGGATTTGACAATGCCACTTTTTGACCTCGTTTTCATAGGATGGTGAATGGGTGGGGTGGGGATAGGAGATAGATATGGGGTGAGTTGGCAGGAGAGGTGGGGTCAGAATAAGAGTTTTGATAAGGAGATAGTTGTATAGAGTGGTTGTTTAGTTGGGCTGTGTTACTTGCCTGAATGTATTGGTTCTAATGAGTGGGTTGCTGCTCATGAGAAGTGGCCCCTAATTGATTGGGTTGGGCGGGCAGAGGCAGCTGGTTCGCCAATGTGATGGGGGTAAGAGAGGTTCAATAATATAGATTGAGAAAGATGATGGATGTGGTTCAATGGTGTGAGGGTAGTGAGTAGTAGAGGAGTGGTGTTAGAGTAAGGAAATCAGTCTTCGTGGAATATATCATGACGAAATATTATTGGTGTGTTGTTGGACAAAGTGTAACATACACTACAAAAAAATGCCAATTAGTGACGAAAACGAAATGGTCACCAACAATAGAAGTAGTCGTCACTAAATAATTTAGTGACCAAACTTTTGGTCGTGACTTTTCATCACTATAGGTCCGTCACAAAAATTGATTAGTGACCAAAATAAAAAAGCGGTCACTAAATAGTTGTAACGCCCGTAGATCCGGGCTAGTCAATTTAGAGATAACAGGGTCGAAAACGACTTTTGGAAAAAAAATTTATTTAGAATAAATACTCTTAACCAAGTTGTAGAATATGTCTCAAGGTTTCCGTACATATAAAGAACGTCGAAATCCGAGTTATAACGAAGAAGTTATGACTCGTCGAAGTTTTACGGCAAAACCGGCACGACACCGGGAGACGTAAATAGTGAATTTACAATAGAGGACTTTTTAGCCTTAGTGATCTAAACAAAAGTTGTAGTATATGTTAAACCGATAACATCCATAAAAAGAACGCCCAAATCTGACTTCGTATGAGGAAGTTATGAATTTTCTAAGATTTGGCATAGCAGTGCACGACCCGAAACTCGAATTTTAGTTCAACCGGTTTTTGGCTTACGCAACCTAAATGAGAGTTGAAGATCTCATTAATAGGAACTTAACGGTAAAAAGACAGACGAAAACGGAGTCCGTATGAAGGAGTTACGAATTCTTCGCGGTCATTTAACAGTCTAAACTCCTCCTACTGTTAAATTTAAGATCGGTCGAAAATTAGCCGACGGAGTCTAAATGAAAGTTGTAGATCTTGATTTTACCTACGCGTAAAAAAAAAGAACGTCGAAAACAGAGCTTGTATGCGAGAGTTATGATTTTTCTAATCGGGAGGTTGATACGCGAGTTTGGGTGACGTGGCACCACCAGAAAGAGGACAGGTGACACCACCAGAAGGCTGCCACATGCACCAACTCGGCGAGTTTGTGTCAAGACTCGGCGAGTCCATCAGATATTTTCACTATAAATAGAGGTGTCGGGTCTTGCCATTTCTTCACACCTCCCAAACTCACTTTCTCTCTCTAGTTTCTCTCTCTAGCCTCCCAAACCCCCCTAAAGCCTAGGTAAACCCCCTAGCACCCGAAGGAAGCCCCGAGGCTCCCGGAGTCCTGAGAAAAGAGCCTTTCGGCTCGGGAATGCTGCTCCAGCGAAGCCCGGTTCTTTCAAAAAACCCGCTGTAAGTGAGCTATGCCTACCCTATCTTTAGTATAGCTTATGTTTTAATATAGTAACATGATTAGGACCTTAAAATAATTATTTGGGCTATTATTATGAGTTATATAGTGTTGTTTAACGCTTATATAATAATAATAATAGCTAGACTATTAATTAGTCTCGGTGAATATTGAGCTAAACCCTAGTGGTAATGATACTAGGTTTTGTCAAGGGAAAATTGTTTTGAGATAACGAAGCATTGTCCGAGTTCCGAGTCACCACCTTTCAGGTGAGTGCATAGTTACTTTCATCTTACACATATATATGAAGTATTTTATATAAATTACGTGCTATGTGTGTATACTGTCTGAATACTTGTTGTCTATGCTGGATGAAACGTTTTATACATGTTTTAAATCATCTAAACTGTATATGTATTTTATATCTACAAAATTTGTTGGGTAAAACATGGGTAGATTAGAGGTGAGATAAATGATGAGCGATGAAAGATGAGATAAATGATGAGCGATGATAGATGAGATGAATGACGAGCGATGATATATGAGTGATAAAATATGGTGGGAAGCGATGACCTAAGCGATGAGCCAAAGCGATGAGCCAAATCGATGAGCCAAACGATGAGCCAAGCGATGGCCCCGTCATCTAGCAGAGTATGGATGACAACCACAGACTATTCTAGACAGTCCAGTGGAACACTAGCAGACTTGCAACCTGTAGGTGTTGTGAACGATATGTTCACCCGGTGTACTCTAAACCCTGGCGATCATGCAGACTTGGTGCCTAAACCTTGGCGATCATGCAGACTTGGTGTCAAACCCCGACGACTATGCGGACTTAGTGCCTGTTGTATAAACTCCGGCGACTATGCAGACTTAGTGCCTAAACCCCGGTGACGATGGACTTCGTGCCGATTCCTTAGAATGATCCTTAGGAATGAATAAACGAGGAATAGTTGATTCTTAGGGTAGATCCTTAAGAGTAAAGAAGATAATAGGGATGGGTAATTGGGTTGATTGTTTGATGTTTAAACATAATAATTATATTATTGTGGGTTGAAAACCCTATGTACTCACCAGGTTTCCCAACCTGACCCACTCAAGCTTATTTGTATCACAGGTGTCGATATGAAGTTACATTACACTGAGAGATTTAAAAGAGATGTAGATCACTAGTGTAAATGAATGTAAGTTCTGTTTATGCTTATGTTTCTGTATTGACAATGACATCCCAAAGTTTTAAAATGAATAAAAATACATTTCTTCGGAAATGCTTTGATAACGTATTTATCATGTTTTTCTGGGAACCAATTCCACAACATTTTCATTAAAAGAGGTACTCTGATTTTTATAAAGCATTAACAAAATCGGCCTTTTCTGGCCGTGAAAATGGGGATGTCATAGTTGGTATCAGAGCATTAGTTTAAGCGAACTAGGAATTTGTAGGAAATTTCTAGACTTAAACTTAGAATGCTAAGCGATGATTGTGAGATGAGTGTCTGCTATATTTTAGACACAAGCATTAGTTTATTTTAGGAAAGATGCCTAAAATGTTTTATGTGCTAAATGTTTTATGTTATAGCTATAAAGATGCCTTATATGCTATTATTTGTTCGGATCTATGGTCTGTTGCCGACCGGATCTGGAAATTTTATGTGTTCAGATTTCTAAACGTTTGATTACGGTATTAGAACTGGCATATAACTTTTCGGTGTGACAAGGAGACTAATACGTCTATCGTAAATAAAATCTTTCCTATCTTAAAATTCTAGCCTCGGTACACCGAACGTTTGCTTGGGTGTACAAAACGTCATGGTGAAGACAAACTAGGAAATATCCGAGGAAGATGACAACCTGAGCCTAAGAATGTGATGTGTCATGCATCGGTCGTTGCGCCTGCACCCGCACCTATCACAATGGCAGAAGTTCAGGAAGTGATGCGAACCATGATAGACTGAGAAAATAGAGGAAATGAGATGGCTTACGATAGTGAATGATACCTATCGGAAGATATCATAAGAGAGGTATATTGCCTTTAGAATACGTCTGATAAAATAACAGTACGTCTAGAGAAGTACGGTACAACTGAATGCACACATTTGATTGGCGGGATGATAGAACGATTGGTGTAATTCCTAATCATCTGGAATTTCCAATACCAACCGAGTTGAAGCAGAATTGATGATTGAAGATGTGCATGAAAGAAGTCCTAGTCGAGTCTAGGAAAAAAAAATTTATATGATTATTTGGACACACTCGTATGTGTTAAATTGTTTTGTGATTTTAGGACTTGGGGACTGCGAGACAATACTTGGGACGAGTATGAGTAGGTGTGAAAGGTAGTAGATGCATATACTACTGGAAGCACAGGACTCACGTTTGGATCAGGGAAAGTCACAAGGTTACCAAGAAGCTAGTAATTGATTTCATTATTATTCAAGTATGTCGTTACCATTGTTTCGGTAATGATTAAGAAGATGATTGTTATTCCGACCCTAGTGGTCATATCGAATTGAGTCCGACTAAGACGAGTATGTTACGTGGTTCAAATAACCAAGTCCGATGTAGCATCCGACTTAAGCTAGAAGATTGAAGTGAAAGATAGTCGAAGCATCGCAACCGTTGTTAAGA